TTCGTAATCTGTTCAGGAACCAGCACTTGCTCCCGCACAGCATTGCAGGCCTAACCACTGTCCTGTACAAATTTTCTTTGACCACTCTGGAACACTTTCGAACAAGAATACCAAGGACACTACGTCCACTTTGCCCATGCGCATTGATCAGCGCCCTCACTTCCTGATCCACGCTACCGTCAGCGGCCTAGATCCTCATTCTCCCAAGGTATCGGAAGTCCTCCACTCTTTCGATGCTTTCTCCATGCCATCCACGATCGGCTCTGCACCCTCTTCGGAGCTCAGGAACTTGGTCTTCTTGACATTCAATCAGAGCCCACCTTCTGAGAAACTTCCTCCCATTCTTTGGTGGTTCTTCTTTGCTATGCGCTATCAGGGCAAGGGCGGAAGTGGTGTAAGGGCGGAAGTGGTGTAGTGGACAAGTGGCACGCTTACCACGCGAGCGGTCCGGGGATCAAATCCTGGGTCGTGAGTCGCCCGGGCCAACCAAGCCTTCCATCCCTCCGGGGTCGGTTAATTGGTACCAGACTTGTCTGGGAGGATAAAAACACTGACTTGTACATCGGCTGGCCCCCGCAAGTCATTGTATAGGCCACATCGCATTCAAACGCCGAATGTACAAATGGAAGTAGAATGCGTGCCGCATCCCAAAAAGGGATTGATCAACGGCAAATGCTTTATCCTTTATCCTTATAAGCAATGTCGTATGTGTGACCTTCGGTGGTCGCTCCGTTAGTCACAGCCTTCACCATAAGGCAAGTCTATGTGCATCCTTCCCCCACCCATGGCTCGATGGTTTTTTTTTATTTGAAAAAGTGAGGAGACGAAGATGCAGGTTCAGTGAAGATGCAGGTAGGATTTCGAACAAATGTATGCAGGGGAATCAGATGGGAGGGAGAGGGGATCTTATAGGCTACCAAATTTTCCTAACGTGTGACCTGAACCTCATCGGATGTCTGCTCTGACCTAAATAATTAGAAACAATAAGATAAAATACAATACAATAAGACCTGACTTCCTCCCTGCCTCACCTCTTCTACCCTCACTTTTTTCGGTTCATTCACACAATTAATATCCAATCTTTTCGTTACCTAAATATTATAAAAATTGCTAAATGTGTAATAAACAATGTGAGACTTCAAAATTTTATTGCAAAAGACTCAAAACTTTCTACAAAAGAAATTGCAAAATGTGTGTTTGCAAAAGTTTTGCAAAAGCTTAGGTCTTTTTTGGCGAGCTTTCGGCGCTTAGCGCCTTTGTCGAGCCTGAAAATGAATAATTAGAAGCTTTTAATATATTAAAGTATATGAGTGTTCTGTTTCTCAAAAACCCAACGGGGTGGTAGTGTTCCACTTTTAAGAGTGGCACAGGCAGGTGGTGCAACTTAAGTATATTTAGATATATTAACGACTTTACAAAAGCCTTTACTTTTCAGGCGCTAAGCGCCGAAAGCTCGCCAAAAAGGCCTAACTTTTGCAAAACTTTTGCAAACACACATTTTTGCAATCTCTTTTGTAGAAAGTTTTGAGTCTTTTGCAATAAATTTTGAAGTCTCACATTGTTTAATACACATTTAGATCAACATGAGACTTCGGGACAGAACAATTCTAAAGTATAAAAATTAAAAATTACTGTGAAATGTGTTGACTAGCTGTAAGTATTCCGACGTTCCTTTTGGTGGCCGGTGTGTCCAAGTAAAGCAATATCATTCTCGCCATTGTATTGGGGTTTAGAAGAGCTGCTCCATTATATCTAAACTCAATTTTTAGTTTAATGACAATGCCACAACAGGGACGGGAGAGAAACTCACTTTTCGTAATACTCTTGGAAGGACGGTAGATGAAACCCAAAAACGTGAGTAGCCGGATATAAGAGCACTTGACACTAAAAGTGGATGATCTGAGGAGTAAAGAAATGTTACTGTTGATAAATATCTCAACAAGTCCGAATTTGAACTCTGGTATTAAGGTTCCTGAATTCACGGTAAACAACCAAATGCCCGACAGGAGGCTGGTCACGCGGCGAGAAGGCAGAGACGCAGACAGGTCAGCGGACGAGTCGCAGCGCGTGCTGTGTGATGTGGGACGTACTATAGTACATTCTATTCAACTTGACGCGAAATCACTGCAGTACGCGCTGCGACTCGTCCGCTGACTCGTCTGCGTCTCTGCCTTCTCGCACACGACAAGCCTTCTGTCGACTACCCAACTCATCTGAAACATGTCCCTTTCTTATAAAAAGACAAGCCATGCAGCAACTGCATACAGTTTGAAAAATTTCAAAGCAAAATTGTAAAGCGAAGAAAAAAATGGAAACTCAAAAAATTCATGCCGTAGATATGATTATCCAACTAACACTTGACTGCAAGGAGTTTTATGAACGATCGTCCAACCTTAATGAAGTGTTCATTCCTCCTCGCGAATCGTTGAGTAACAACTGCTGCGAGATTTCCACCAGCACTATCGCCAGCAATACAGATCTTGTCTCGATCGATATCGAATTTTTCATAGCTGAATAATAGGATGACAATTAACTCCGGCTGTGAACACAATGGCTGGAAAGCGAAGCGGTTCTAATGACATCATGTGCAGTGAGGGAGGTAGGTATTGGTGAGGGAGAGGGCCAGTGAACAAGACGTGTGTATCGAAGCTTCGTACGCCAGTTTCTTCAATACTTGCGACGTCGTTTATGGAACGTGT